AAATTCATGCATGCAAACTAAGTGTCGACCCTCAATCAACATACAAGAATAAGTTTTAATTCACATAGATAAGCAAATTGAAATCACAACTTATGAAACGCAATTAGAAGTAATCAAATCATATAGCAAGCATAAACATGGTTTCGAATCCCCCCCTAGCCAAGGGGGGTTTAGTTCCTCATACTCGCAAAGCAAAGATACATAAATTTAGAAATTAAAACCCAAAGAAAGAAAACACCTAGAAGGCTCCAACTTGGCAGCAAGATCATCAATGATTTCCCTTTCCTCCTTGCTGCGGCAGAGAAGTTTATAACAGGTTTTGGGTAGTATTTAGGGTGTAGAATGGATGGGGAATGGTAGGGAAAGGTTTAGGGTTGATGGGGGTACGGCTAGGGATGATTTTTGGGCAGAATTTTGGGATTTTGGTGATGGGAAGGTGCGGCATAATGCAAGGGCAGATTTTTGGCGTGAATGATTGTGTATGAGAGGTGGTCATCTGATCTAGGGGTTATAATGAGTATATATAGGCATCCAAAACCCTAGGGTAATCAGATTAGGGTTCTAGAAGCCCAAATCCACCAGAAATTAGGTTAAAACAATCAGATTTTTAGTGGGAATAAGGCCTAAGGTGCGGCTAGGGTTAGGGTTTAGAGATGGGCCTTCTAGAATGCCTTGCAAGGCAAGGAAATCAGATATTCTAGAGGCCTAGGTGCGGCTAGGGTTAGGGTCCACAAGGAATTAGGGTTTAGGTCATCTAAAAGCCCAAAACCAAGAATAGAAACTCTCGAAAATGGAAACCTCCAAGAATAGAAACTTCCAACTTTAGAAACTTTGGTTTCCAAATCTGAATTCTTTGTTCTTCACTTTCATTTCTTCATTTCTTAAGCTCCTTTGACCTTCAAACTCGTCCATTCCTTATGCTCCATTAGCATACACTCCATTCTAGCTCAATTTTGCTCTAAAATGCTCCATTTTGCACTTCTTTGCATACTTCGTCTCTAAACCTGAAATTGCACGAAAATGACTTTAAACACTAAAATAACTAAAGAAAAACAACATAAATGCTTAAGAACATGCCAACTAAGTCGCATAAATATGCTCCTATCAAATTGATAGGAGCATATTTATGCGCCTTAGTTAGCTAGTTCTTATGCATTTTCGTTATGTTTTCGTCGTTAAAGTAGTCTTTTGAGCTACTTTCATGTGTTTTCAGGCTTAAAGGGCATATGACATAAAAGGATGCAAATTGGAGCTTTTTGGAGCAAAATGGAGCTTAGATTGGAAAGTACATGCTTGGAGCACAAGGAATGGACGAGTTTGAAGGGCAAAGGAGCTTAAGAAATGAAGAACAAAGAATTCAGAATTAGAAACCAAAGTTTCTAAAGTTGGAAGTTTCTATTCTTGGAGGTTTCCATTTTCGAGAGTTTCTATTCTTGGTTTTGGGCTTTCTAGAAGCCCTATCTACAAACCCTAACCCTAGCCCACTAATTTGCCGCACCTAGGCCTTTAAAATTTCTGATTTCCTTGCCTTGCAAGGCATTCTAGAAGCCTAAACCCTAGCCCACTAAACCAGCCGAACCCTAGGCCTTTTCCCTTGCAAAATCTGATTGCTAGGGTTTTTAAGTGCCTATATATATTCATTCTAACCCTTGGCCGAAGAGAGATCACCCCCCATATCATCCATTCACTCCAGAAAATCATTCTAAACCCTTGCCACAACCACCAATCCCATTCTCCCTAGTTCTAAGTCCTTGCCGTGCCTCCCTAGTCCTTTTAACCCTTCTACCCTCTTCCATAACCATCCATCCACCATAGCCGTGCCTTCCCACCACCATCACCACCTTGTGCAGCCACCAAAGGAGGAGAAAGAAGGAGTGCCGTGCAGTCCAAAGGAGGAAGACACCTTGCACATGCAATCTGCCATTAGTGGAGTGTTTGGAGTTCTTTCTTTCTTTGTTTCTGTTTTCATGTTTAATTTAAATTGTTGTTCAATTATGTTAGACATGTGGAACTAATTTCTTTTTAGTTAGAGGTGAATTTGAAGCCAGTTAGAGGTGAATTTGAAGCCATGGACATATGTTTTATATGATTTGATTTCTTCCAATTATGATTTCAGAAATTGTGAATGTGATTTACTTATCTATTTGATTGATAACTTGTTTATGTATGTGGGTTGAGGGTCGACACTTAATTTGCATGCTTAAACTTGATGCTAGGGTATAAGGGAATTTCACCTAATCGTTATTAACTTATATTCATAAGTAGTGAAAGTCGCTAGTCACGATTGTGTTAAGTAAATCCTAGGCAAGAGTAACATGCGTATTCCATAGTTATGAATGCCTCGTCAATGCTTATGATTTCCATTGAACTTAATGATCTTTGATATGTGTCTCTATCATGCGTATTCCATAGTTAGGGTCCTTGATAAGAATAATTTGGTTGTAATGCGTATTCCATTCAATTCAATGAATCTAGGGAAATCTGAGAATTAATTGGTGCAATCTAGTTAATTTGGGGCATTGTCATTCATGGTTTGTTGAAAGAGTCATTGGAGATTGAGTTGTATGCATATGTTCATGTGTGGATAAGGAACCCTCTAACTAGCTTCTCACCATTCTATTTAATCACAATCTGTTTTGCTTTACATTTGTTTTTAAAGTTTGAGTTTTTAAAGTTTTAATTTCGTCAAAATCATTCCCCCATTTATTTTAAAGTGTTAGATTAGTTAGAAATCCATTTAGTTGTGTTTTTAAGTGTTTTGAGTCAAGTCATAGTCCAAATTCGTCCAAACTAGTGTTAGGTACTCAAAACTGCCCAGAAAGTGGTTTTAAGGCAGTTTTGAGCCTTTTAGTTGCTGTTTTGAGTTTTTAGTTTGTTTAGGTGTTTTAAACCCTAGTTTTGCATTAATCGAGTCTAGTTTAGTGTTCTACATTATATTTTTATGTTCTTGAGTCAGTTTTACATTGATTAGCAGCCCTAGTTAATCCCCGGTTAGAACGATCCCTATTTGCTCATATACTACAATTGTCATCCATAGGGTTTAATTTGTGTGTCAAGTTAATTTTCACATCAGCCAAAATCTGTTTAAGTCTTTAGTTTACTTGTTTTACCTCAAATTCGTCCAAAACCCAATCCCCTTTGCTTTGTTAAGTCAAATTAGTTAGAATATGTCCACACTTGTGTTTTTAAGTATTTTGAGTCAAGTAAAAGCCAAATTTCATCCAAATAACTCCCTAGAATCTGTTTTAAGTCTCTTTGATTGTTTTGTGCTATTTTGAGTTTTTTTAGTTTGTTTTGAGTTCTTTGAGTCTAGTTAGGTGTTTTCAAGCCTAGTTTTTATATTTTTGAGTCAGTTTTAAGTAGATTAGCAATCCCTCCTAATCCCCAGCCTAGAACGATCCCTACTTACATCTTTACTACAATTGTCAATAAGAGGGTATAATTTGAGTGCTGTTTTATTTCACATCAGTTTATAAGAAGAGTAACTGGAAATCGATTCGTATGCATATGTGTCATGTATGGAGAAGGACCCTCTAGCTAGCCATTCACCTTTAAAACACCCTAAATTCGTAGCAATTAGTTTGTTTTATGCAAGTAACTTAGGTTAAGCATTTGATTCGTCAAAAACAAAACCCCCCTTTATATTTCGTGTTCTTAGTTTAGAATCTGTCCAGTTGGTGTCTTTTTAATGTTTTGAGTCTTTTTAGTTCAAATTTGGTCCAAAGTCATCCTTAGCGTTAGTTTTGAGTCAATTTATTTGTTTTGTGTAGTTTTGAGTAGTTTGAGTCAGTTTTGAGTCATAAGATTCTTGTTTAGTGTTTTTAAGTCTAGTTAAGTATAATTGAGTCTAATTTGAGTAGATTAGCAGTCCCTCTTAATCTTCGGCCTAGAACTATCCCTACTTGTCCATACTACAATTATCAAAAAGAGGGTTTAAGTTTGAGTGCTAATTTATATCACATCACCCAACTGACGACGACATCAACAATGTCGCTGAGCAACAGCTAGAATCTTCGATGGAAATTGGTGTGGAAACACTCCAAGATACTAATCTTATCCAAGAACCATTTCAGATAGGAGTATTTTCAATTGAAATACCGATTCAATCAATCACTATTGACCTCGGTAATCTTCCGCGCTATGATGGTGACGTACCCATCGATGATGATGAGGAATTGGACACTGAAAATGATGTGACGAATATTTCTTCAGAATCATTTGTTGTGAATTTTCTTTGCCTCGATACTAGCTGAATAAGAATAGTAACTGTAATTATAATGTCTCGTGAGAATTTTTTATTATTAGTATCTGCATTCAATCGATGCTGTAGAAACTAGATGATAAAGATAATGATAAAGGCTGATTAAACTGATCCTACATCCTAGTGAACAAAAAGGCCAAAATACAATGAAAAATTATCGCATTGAACCCACGTATGGTAATATTTTGAATGGTGTAAAATAAAGAAAACTAAATTCTGCTATTGGATATATTAGCAAATATGTTAAGTTTTTTTCCAGTAATTGTGGGACAAATAAACCAGCAAACAAGTACCGTATTTTTCTGCGATGTAGTAATTATTGGGTTTCTCTCTTACAAGCAATGCACTTGTTGAATCACACAAGAAAAATATAAGAGAATGAGAATAAGTAGAAGTGTACATGATATGTAAGTTTCTCTTCCAAACACATTGCATTATATTTTTCCTTTTGCGTTTCATCATTCTTGCATCATGTGAACTTAAAAACTGAAGATACAAACGTAAGAAAGGTACTAATCGTCTTCTTCTCTTTTTCTTCAATCTCGTGGATACGTAATGGGAATACATGAAGCATTTGGGTTACATAAAACACTTAGATTTCATTGTTTGTCGAAGGGGCCACACACAGTGCCGCATATTTTGTACATATGGTTAGACTATGAGTATAAGGGTAGGTGTAGTTTGGCCGGATGTTTGAGTTCAATCCCACTTTGATAGTAAATCGTTGATTAGCGTCAGGCCCGGCCCAGGCGCAGTGCAACAGGGGCAATTGTCCAGGGCCCAAAGTTGAATGGGGCACCCAAAAAACAAAATCCAAATAATTAGGTATAAAAAAAAAATTTGTCCAAAGCCCAAAATAAAGGTTGTAGGCGATAACTTGTCCAGGTTTTGGGGATTAAAAATCAATATAACATAAAGGGTATCTGAAGGGGACAAGTCGTCCAGGTTTTGGGCATGGAGGAGAGGCATAAGATTCAAGTTTTTCAAAGGGAGCTCCCTCTGCTTGGAGCTTGTCACCCAACTGCCTAAGCCCAAGGTACTACGGAGAACACAAACCCTTCTTAAATTTCAGCTTAATTTTTGTGTTCTAAGTCGGAAGCTTCGTTTCTTTTGCTTGAATTGTTCTGGTTTCTGTTTTCAAAATTGGGGTTTTTTTGTAGCTATTGAGAGGTGCAAGCAGCAGATTTCAGATGCAACCGCAAATTACCTGCATGGACAATCTAAGTGTTCTGAGCAGACTTCAAGTGAGGGGCATGTTTTTGAGGAATTCATTCCATTAACACGGATTTCATACAACTCCAGATGCACCACTCGAAGAGGTATAAAAAAAAGACTCCACCTTCATCAATTTTAGTAAATTTTGTGACTGCCCTTTTGTTTGGTTGCTTATAAAATTTGAGGTGAAGAAGTGGAAAGTATTGATTTTTAGGTGTAGGGTAATGGCAGGAGGAGCAAGTTAAAGGCTATAGTGATGGAGATGAAGAGAAATGGGGTGCTTTTCAGCCTTTCCAAAGGAAAAAAAAAGCATTGGAAAGACAAATTGACCAGTGGCTAAAGAACCTTCTTCGGCTCCGGCTACTAGTTCCACCACGGACACCGTGAATGGAGACAGTGGTGGGAACAACAAGAACAAAGAGAAAGATGGACAGGGAGACGAAGGCGAAACTGGTCACCGGAGTTGCACCGCCGGTTCTTGCATGCTCTTCTCTTCAACAACTTGGTGGTTCACATGGTATGCAGTTGAGATTAATTTAGTGGGATATGTTATTTTATATGATTGGATGAATATGTGATTGGATTGGGATGTATTGGATGTGTTTAATGCGTTCTGCGTATATGTGATTTTCCATCTTTTTTTAATCATAATTTGGTTGATGTGAAAAATTTTGCACATACATATAGAAATTGGAAGGCATTTTGCATGCTACTAGTGATGATTTTTTTTACACATACATGTGATTAACCTCGCAAAATATTTATTTTAAACATATGTTTACTAAAAAGGGCACATTTTGGACTTTCGCACTGCGCACCAAAAAACTCAGGACCGGCCCTGATTAGCGTAACACTCCCTCTTAAATTTGAGGGTTTATTAATTATAAGTAAAGGGTTAGAATTAGGGCTTCGGGGTTAGATTTAGGGTGCTTAATTTACGGGGTGAGATTTAGGGTACTTAAGTTAGGTGTTACTTGATTTTGAATTAGGGTTCTTAAATTTGGGTTTCGAATTAGGATAGTGAGTTAGATTTAGGGTTGTAATGGTTTATTTCCAATTTTGTAGGTGTCACAGCTCATTAGAAGCCAAAAGGCAATGACGACTACACCTCCTACTACTGCCGCCACTGCTCCAGCAGAGATGGACCATAGGCTAGTGAATCTGGTTGACCCAGTTGGTCCTCCAATCCCATAGGCGTTGGCACCTTCAACTTCTTCGGTGGTGTTACGTGTTAGTGCTCGACATGCTCAACAGTGCCCCCACACTCCAGAGCAGATGTCACCATTGGGATCGACAACCAATACCTCGGGTCCATAGCCAAGTATACTATCCCAATTAACTCCTTCATTCCCATGTTAACTTAGTTTTGTTATTTTAGGTTCAGTTTGTTAAGTTATGTCATTTAAGGATTAAAAAGTTATTATATGTTTGTACCATACTTGACCAATCCCGAAACTACTAAGCACCGGTCAACGTTATATCGTCAAGGACCCATAAGAGCTTCCCTTCAACCAGGAGGCCAATCACAATGTGACACGTGTCGACATCAGAAGCCAATCACAGCGCGACAGGTGTCAACATCAGAAGCCAATCATAACACGACACATGTCAATGTCAGAACAAAACTAGAAACTCTCTTCTATAAATAGGGATCATTCTCCCACAATAATCTCTAATGTCATTTTGTACTAAACTATTCACTAGAACTCACAAAAGGAGAGCTTGAACCTATGTATTTGTGTAAACCCTTCACAATTAATGAGAACTCCCCTACTCCGTGGACGTAGCCAATCTGGGTGAACCACGTATATCTTGTGTTTACTTCTCTGTCTCTATTCATTTACATACTTATCCTCACTAGTGACCGAAGCAACCAAGCGAAGATCACAAAACCTGACACTTTCTGTTGTACCAAAGTCCTCACTGATTTTGTGCATCAACATTATATATATATATATATTATTATTGTCATTGTTCAGAACCCATTATTAAACAGTTGTGATCATTGTGTTGGATACATATATTGTTTATGTTATTTTCAGGGTTTTGGGAAATGTTTTAATTATATGGAGGTTTTGCCAAAATTTTGGTTGGATTTGTTATTAGTTTTGGATTAACGTTAATTTTTCATTTCTTTGCAACCAAGAAAAACACCTGAGGACCTTGTCGGCAATTGAAGATGGTGAAGGCCACCCGAGTGACCAACGATTGTATCACAATCGAATATAATGAGCGACATCGGGCCACACCAACGGCGGAGCATCATAGTGCATTGGTCCTTGACATTGGGCATGTCGTGCAGACCTTTTGCCCTATGTGGTGGAAGTCTTGGAAGGCGATGCTGGAGGAGGTGAAAAACACGATGTTCAATCATTTGTCTACAAGTATCGTCACATAAGCTTTTCAGGTACAATTTATATATTTATATTTGTTAATGTCTTTTATTACTAATACTTTCATAATATTTGTTACATTGCAGACAAACTACAATTTTAATAACATCAACGAGGACATGTTGGCGTACCTCAATCGGCTCTTCTCCGAACTTTACAAGCAGTAGAAAGCTGACCTGCACCGGCATTTCGAGATGTTTGATGATCTGTAGGTCGCTTGCGAGGAGGGTTGCCCAAAGGAGTTCGTGGACCGAGAAGATAGTTGGGTTTGGCTTTGCTTCATTTTTAGGAGCCGGGCTATGTGGTGCAGTTTTAAATAAGACTTCTTTAATTTTACTTTTTTAAATTTTTACTAATGTTTATTACTTTTTTTTTCTTTAAATATTACAACTAATACATTTATTTTGTGTATAACAGTAGAAGGCGAAGGCGAATAAGATCAATCGGGAAAAGAAGACTCTTCTCTACCATTCGGGTTCGAAGTCTTTCCCATATAGGATGGAGGCACGGCGGAAGGTATATATGTTGGAAATCTACCCTAAAACCAATCATATGATGATACTTTACGGACATTTCACATGTTAAACTAATCTAGTTTAATATCAAGGGCAAAGATTATTGTTTGAGCCGTCTCATATATGATAGGAGCATATTTATGCGCCTTAGTTAGCTAGTTCTTATGCATTTTCGTTATGTTTTCTTAATTAAAGTAGTCTTTTGAGCTACTTTCATGTGTTTTCAGGTTCAAAGGGCATATGACATAAAAGATGGCAAAATGGAGCATTTTAGAGCAAAAGTGAGCTTGGATTGAAAAGTACATGCTTGGAACAAGGAATGGACGAGTTTGAAGGTCGAGGGAGCTTAAGAAATGAAGAAATGAAAGTAAAGAACAAAGAAGTCGGAATTGGCAACTAAAGTTTCTAAAGTTGGAAGTTTCTATTCTTGGAGGTTTCCATTTTCGAGAGTTTCTATTCTTGGCTTTGGGCTTTTGGATGACCCATCTTTGCCTCTTGGACCTATGCCGCACCTAACCCTAACCCTAGCCCACTTAATCAGCCGCACCTAGGCCTTGTTCACATGAAAAAAATCTGATTACTTACCCTAAGCCCATGCCGCACCTAATGTTCTAGAAACCCTAGTTTTTGGTGGATTTCCTAACCCTAGCCGCACCTAAACCCTAGCCCATTTGTCTAACCTGATTTCTTTAGGGTTTGGCTGCCTATATATATGTGTTTTACCTCCCTTGGCCGAAGAAGACCCTCTCCATATTCAGAAATTCGTCCAAAACCCTATTTCCCACCTTGCCGCAGCCTTCCATCCCCAAACTCCCAACTTTCTGCCCAAATTCAACCTTGCCGCACCATCCTCTTCCCCAAACCATTCCTACATCCTTCCATAACCATTCATCCACCTTGTGCAGCCACTAAAGGCGGAGAAAGAAGGAGTGCCGTGCAGTCCAAAGGAAGGAGAAGCCTTGCACATGCAATCTGCCATTAGTGGAGTGTTTGGAGTTCTTTCTTTCTTTGTTTCTGTTTTCATGTTTAATTTAAATTGTTGTTCAATTATGTTAGACATGTGGAACTAATTTCTTTTTAGTTAGAGGTGAATTTGAAGCCATGGACATATGTTTTATATGATTTGATTTCTTCCAATTATGATTTCAGAAATTGTGAATGTGATTTACTTATCTATTTGATTGATAACTTGTTTATGTATGTGGGTTGAGGGTCGACACTTAATTTGCATGCTTAAACTTGATGCTAGGGTATAAGGGAATTTCACCTAATCGTTATTAACTTATATTCATAAGTAGTGAAAGTCGCTAGTCACGATTGTGTTAAGTAAATCCTAGGCAAGAGTAACATGCGTATCCCATAGTTATGAATGCCTCGTCAATGCTTATGATGTCCATTGAACTTAATGATCTTTGATATGTGTCTCTATCATGCGTATTCCATAGTTAGGGTCCTTGATAAGAATAATTTGGTTGTAATGCGTATTCCATTCAATTCAATGAATCTAGGGAAATCTGAGAATTAATTGGTGCAATCTAGTTAATTTGGGGCATTGTCATTCATGGTTTGTTGAAAGAGTAATTGGAGATCGAATTGTATACATATGTTCATGTGTGGATAAGGAACCCTCTAACTAGCTTCTCACCATTCTATTTAATCACAATCTGTTTTGCTTTACATTTGTTTTTAAAGTTTGAGTTTTAAAGTTTTAATTTCGTCAAAATCATTCCCCCATCTATTTTAAAGTGTTAGATTAGTTAGAAATCCATTTAGTTGTGTTTCTAAGTGTTTTGAGTCAAGTCATAGTCCAAATTCGTCCAAAGTAGTGTAGGTGCTCAAAACTGCCCAGAAAGTGGTTTTTAGGCAGTTTTGAGCCTTCTAGTTGCTGTTTTGAGTTTTTAGTTTGTTTAGGTGTTTTAAACCCTAGTTTTGCATTAATTGAGTCTAGTTTAGTGTTCTACATTATATTTTTATGTTCTTGAGTCAGTTTTACATTGATTAGCATCCCTAGTTAATCCCCGGTTAGAACGATCCCTATTTGCTCATATACTACAATTGTCATCCATAGGGTTTAATTTGTGTGTCAAGTTAATTTTCACATCAATATAAATGTTATATGCTTAAACGATAAGTCCAAGGAATATGTGATTGGGAGCAAGGAAGAAAATATCGGTAATATCGGAAATATCGGTAGTCCGAAAACACGGAAATATCAATGGAAATATCGGGATAATATCGATATCGATAAAAATTACATGGAAACCACGGAAATTGTAAAAAAAACTTGGAAATTTTTAATGAAACTTTGTAGGATGTTTATTTAGTCAATTATCTATTAGTTTATCACAAAAAATTGGAAGGAAATGCATTGCATGATGGATTTAACTGATTTAAGTTGATTATATAGCGAGCTGGAAAACATTGTGAGTGTAGAAAATATGTAGTAATTAATGAAAGAAGTTTAAACACACCATAATCATTTATATATAATTAATTAGTACAATATTTGGAGGTTTTATTTAGGAAGTGAATAAAATGATGAAGAATAATGTGCCGAATTTGACACTTTAAATTTCTTACACATAAGCATGCGTCTAGGCGTTGAAGTTCCAAATTATAGTATATCAATTAACGATTGAAAATCAATACATTGAATAAGACTAAACTTTAATTTGGATGCCGATTATGTTTTTTCAAGTTTATATAAAGTAAAAGAATTGAATTTTGAAAGCTAGGAGTGTGTCAATTGAATTTTGGCCGGCGTG